AAAAATGGTTAAAATGGTAAATTTTATATATATTTTAGCACAATTTAAAAAATAAAGTTTTTAAAAATTAAATCAGTAAGAATGGGAAAAAAACCAACTCAAATACAGACAAAAAGGGAGCCCAACTCTATTTCAAATGAAAAACAGCCACACTAAAGAAAAAAAGAACTAATCTGAATAACTTATGAAGACACTACTTTGATTATACACCATTAGTCTAAAGAAAAAAAATAACTACAAGCAAATCTTGAACTCTAAGTAGGTTTGTTTTTCATAGTAATATGAGTATAGCAATTCTGAAAACATATTGTGTGTAATGTGATAAGTGAAAACACTGATGTTATTGAGAGCCAAGAATCTCACTGTCCAAGAAAGGAGATATAAATATGAAATGAGGAAAAGTAAAGAAGAACCTTGGGGGGTTGGATTGCAATTGGAGGTATTAGTATAAACGTATCATTCATAACATATATTCCTAGCTCTATTCACTGAAAAGACTAGAAGCAATGACACTCCACTATCAATGAGCACACCTAGTGCGAAATCTAGGTTGCTAAATGCCATCCCTAAAGGAAATTAGGGCTCCTTAGAGAAATAGCTGATTCCAGTGCTGGGGCAGTGAAAGTACAAGATGAGCCTTGAACATCTTGTGTCAGAAAATAAAGACGTGCTCAAAAAACGATGGAGACATGTTAAAAAAGACATATAAGCCAGCTTGAAGGGACTCCTACTCACCACATCTGGGACTATTGATTATTAAAATAAACCATGATAGTAATGGATTATAGCCTATTGAATCCATGAATCCACACTGATAATAAACAAATAAATAGGGGAGAAGATAAAATTCCACCTTACAGTAGAACACCCACTACTAAATATAGAACGAATGATAGAGTTAGAAAATTACCATTTTGCAACTTTCATACTAATAATTGATTTCGTAAAAAATCATCAATGGATACAAAAACTAGTGGGTGAAAGTTTGAGGAAGAACAGGATATTCACATAGTCTCAGCGTATTCTTTATGTTACTTATTAACTGCAAAGGGAAAAACAGTAACTTTACAGTGTAGGAACTTGAAGGCCACTCCTTCGACCAGATGATTAAAGCTGGCATTACCAATAATGGGATAATCTAATACTAGATGCTTCCTGATAAGATGCCCTAAGAAGACACATCTCTTATGTAGTATGCCTTCCAGAAATGCATCAACTGAATCTAATTATGAGGAAACATCAAGCACACAAAATTTGAGGGAACTTTTACAAAATAACTGGCCTGTACTCTTCAAAAATATTACAGAGCACAGACCTGTGGAGTCAGAAAGTCCATTACCAGTTCTGCCTCTTAACAACTGCCTAGGGCCTGCCTGGTGGCTTAGCGGTTAAGGGCGCGTGCTCTGCTGCTGGCGGCCCGGGGTTCGGATCCCGGGCGCGCACCAACGCACCGCTTCTCTGGCCATGCTGAGGCCAGCATCCCACATACAGCAACTAGAAGGATGTGCAGCAATGACATACAACTATCTACTGGGGCTTTGGGGGAAAAATAAATAAATAAATAAAATTATAAAAAAAAAAACAAAACAATTGCCTAATCACAATCTGCTATGAGTCATATAAGGATTCTGCACCTCACTTCCTTCATATATAAAATAAAGCTTACCTGTAGTGAGAAAAAAATTAATGCCATGAAAAACAATGAAGGGCTGAGGAACTATTCAATTTTATTTATTTTTTTTGGTGAGGAAGACTGGCCCTGAGCTAACATCTGTGCCAATCTTCCTCTATTTTGTATGTGGGATGCTGCCACAGCATGGCTTGATGAGAGGTGTGTAGGTCCACAGTCAGGATCCGAACATGCAAAGCCTGGGTGGCAGAAGTGGAGTGCTTGAACTTAACCACTAGGCCACCAGGCTAGCTCCATTTTCAATTTTAAAGGAGACTAAAGAGACATGACAACTAAATTCAATACGGGGACCTAGATTGAATTCTGGATAGAGACATTGGAACAACTGGTGAAATTGGAATGCAAGCTGTATCAATATTAAAATTTCTGAATTTGTTAATTGTACTGTGGTTATGTAAGAGAATATCTTATTCTTAGGAAGTGAACTCTGAAGTATTGATGGGTAAAAGCTCATGATGTATGCAAGTTATTCTCAATTGGGTCAGGACAAAAAAACCCCAAATATATATATATATCAGAGAGAGAACACGTGGCAAAATATTACCAACTGGTGTACCTTGGTAATGGGTATACAGTTCTTCCCTCCACCAATATTTTATTATGAAAATATCCAAACATACAGAAAAAGTGAAAGAATTCTACTCTGAACACCCACCATCAAGATTCTGCAATCAACAATATGTTAAATTTGCTTTATTATATATTTATCCATATATTACGAATTCTTTTTACTATTCTTGCAACTTTTCTCTTAATTTAAAA